GAGACTTCAAAGGCTAATTTAATTTTTCTATTACTGTTAACATTAGATCCTTATGCAAATGAATACTTTCCAGTTAATGATTTTATTAGATTATCTATGAAAATTCTATGTCACACAGTTGAATTTGATACATCACACAAAGAATAAATGCAGCACAACTTAGGGTTTACTTTGACCGTGGAAGAGATAATTATGTGGCACTTCTGAAGTCATCAGCAGAGGGCCTCTTATTATTGTCTGGCACTGAATATATACCATTCAATTAAAGTTAGAAATTGTTCTGAAATAAAGTTTTTTAAAATGTTTTTGTTGATTTTAGAGAGAGGAAGGGAGAGGAAGGTATAGAAACATCAATGATGATAGAGAATCATTGATCAGCTCCCTCCTGCGCACCCCCTGCTGGGGATGGAGCCTGAAACCCGGACATCAAACGTTGTCCTCCGGGTTCATGGGTCGACACCCAACCACTGAGCCACACGGGCCTGGTTAAAGTTTTAATTAGACCAACAGAATGCTATTTCTGATGGGTCTATCTAAGAAGGTTAAATAATCTTTGTCCATGATTTGTTGATGTATAATTAGTAGCTTTTCTTAAAAGGCAGCCAGAATGGAACTGTAAGAGGCACTAACTCTCAGACAATAAAACCTCCTCATTTTGCCAGCCCATTTATATTTGCATTTAGCTCTAAGGAGAAAATTGAGGGACAGTGAATTTAAAAAAAAATTTTTTTTTTGAGAGAGAACATCGTTTTGTGTGTTCCACTTATTTATGCATCCATTGGTTTATGCTTGTATGTGCCCTGACCAGAGGATGGAACCTGAAACCTTGGCATGTCAGGATGACGCTCTAACCAACTGAGCTACCTGGCCATGGCCTAAATTTAAGCAGAGGTGATAGTCTTACTTCGCTAAAGAGCTGACCAGTTCTTTGTGTGGAGAATTCTTTCCTCTTTCTCTCCTTTTCTTTGTGTCTTTTACTTAGACTGCAGGCCCAGAAAGGTGATTGTATTCCTCAGCCACAACACATTATCATCATCTGTCCATTTAAGGTCCTTGTTTTATTTTTATCTCCTATTTTTTCTCCAGTTCTACCCCCACTCCAACCACAAATCTAATGTAGCTTCTTTGAACGTGTCTTTGTACATTGTCTTGATGTGTCTGTTAATACGGCCTTTACTAGATTAGCCTGTTCCTTGAATTCTTCGGCTGGGTGCTGTCAATGCCCTCTTTTTGCCCTAACTGTCTTCTGGATCTCCTAACCCCGTCTGTCTTAGCTCTTCTAGCACTACACCTTGCTGCAAATACCCAACCAGCTACCTTCTAGTATTAAATGGTCCCAGCTCCACCAGTCTTTCTGGGTTCTTAGTTATAAACACTTCTCCCTAATCTACCTGACTGCCTTGCCTGTGGCAAGCTGCTCATTGCTGTCTCTACTTGGCCTAGCCTACCCTGACCTTGGCACCAGGAGGGACTTAGAACCAAAGAATGGACCTTTGGCTTCATCTTTGGACAATTGGGTGGTATTCTTTGTTGCAATAGCCAGTTTTTGTTATTATTGAAAACATGGCCTTCTTCTAAATAATGCCCTCAAGCTTTATGTTGCTTTGGTGGTGATCAAGAACTTCCACTCGTATAGCATATAACTTTGGCTGGGTGGTTGGAAGGGGCAAAGGATGGAGAATGGTAAACTTAGGGAATAGATTTGTAAAAATGCCAAGGCAGGGCTGAGTTAGGAAGGATGCTGCTACTGTTATAATTTTCAAATTTTAGCAGCTGTAAGAATCACTGAAGGTGCTTATTTAAATTACATATGACTGAGCCTAATTCCAGTGGATCTGGCTCATGAGATCTGGGGTAGGGCCTGGGAACAAGCATGTTAAGCTAGGAGGCCAAGTGATTCTGATGTAGCTGGTCTCTAGCCCAGACTTTGAGAAAATATTCCTCCGTGGTGTGTTCAGAACATATGCTTGGGGGAGGAAAGACCCTAATAGTCTGGGTGTACTAGAACAGATGCAGGATGGATCATCTTTGTGATTGTAAATGCCTTTTAGGTCTTTTATGGCGCTTGGCTTATTTTCCTTAAGCATTTTGGTAAGCTTGGCAGTCAGGATGGAGAAATATGGAAGGAATAATATATAGATATTATCAATCTATCTCACAGTATTCCACAAGCCCCCCAAATACTAGAGACTGTTGGAGCGTGGTGGCCTGCCCCAATCATGCACATCATTGAATGTAACGAGGGGAGATAATTCCAGAGAATTGACCTTTACAGTCTCATATTTGGATTGATTCAGCTCAGCAGAGAGCCCATATTGCTAGCAACAATTCAGGATTTTATGAGTGAATAGACCAGGTACCTGGAGTTGTGTGACAGTCAACCAGAATATGATTGTACTCCAATTCAACATGTACCAAAAGATAGGTTGCCTCAGTTGGGGCACTGTAACAGACTGGCTGGAAGAAAGTCTCAGCAGACTTGCATCATTGTATTCTGGGAGGGGTGAACATACCCCATCACAACTGGGGCTCCCAGAGCCAGGAGGGTAGCTTCAGTGGTACTACAAGTGTACTGGAAATTTTGATACCTCTAGCTTATCTCAGGAATCCTTTTCTTGGCTGGTGGTTTCTGGACAGAATCCAGGAAAATAACAGGCCCTGCTAGGAGAACAAAATGTCAGCTCTGAGGCAGACCACAAATTGTGAAACCTGTAGTAAAAAGTGGCTTTTATAAGACACTCAGGGTTACAGTCCTTTAGTGATACTGGATAGTGCTCATGAGTAGCTAATTCTCAACGTTGACCGCCAGTGGTTTCTATTCCAGTGGGGCAATGAGGGCTGCTGCAGTGTTCGGCTCCTGGGGATGCCACATAGAATGCAATGAGCATGGAGCTTTAGGGGACATTTTCAATATGGTAACATGGGGGGCAATATTAGGCAGAAATAGCTGTGGTCCCTAGTTATCAGCCCAAGTTTATAGTTCCTGAAACTTCTTAGGTTGGTCAGACTTGTTGGGAAACTGTAGGGGGATAGATAAAGGTTCTGGGGTTGCTCTGGGATGCAATTAATCCTTTGGGAGGGGCCTCATTACGCAAGAACTGATTTTTCCTCCCCACTCCCTCTTTCAACTTGGGGCTTATAAGTGGCATAGTGGCCTCCCTGCCCAAATGCAAAGTGCAAGAGAAAGCTGGAGTCAGGTTAGCTTAAGTATATCAGTTTAAGATGATCCCCAAGGAAGCCACCAAGTTTGAGAATAATTATGCAAATACCTGAGCTAGTATTTAAGGGGCATTGAATCAGCTCCAATTTTTAGGCATATAATCTGGAGGGAACCACAGCTATTTCCACTTAGATGGCCCAGATAGACTGACTATTTAGAACTTCCTTAAATTCATTATCTAGAGTGCCTTCATTCCATTCCAAACTTAGTTAGCTAAATTAAATGAGCATTCTGGGCCAAGACTAAGTTATAGCTCTGTTATTGACACTGAAGCTTCCATACTCAACCACTACCTCTAAGCATCCCTCAGAGTTCACCCCAGTTAAGCTGTGGATTCCCCATAACAGTTGAGCAGGAGACTGTGTTTATCATCACTGGAGATTTTAATCTCAAATCCTCTGAAGAGGTGGTTTATGAGGTGTCCAAACTTCATGGCCTCTGTGTTGAAATATTTCAGACTTCAAGGCATCTGTGCTTTACAATATTTAGGAATGTTATGGCTTTCCACATGGCCTTGTGTATTCCCAAGTGGTACCCCTCTATGCATATTGGGGGTTAAAGGGGCATAGTAGGCAGAGATTGACAAGAGCAAGAGGTTAACTTCAGAGCCTGCAGGTGCCACAGCTGCACAAATGCCTCTATCCCACGGGTGACAGCTGTAGAGAGCAGGACGCCAAGGGGAGGAGAGATAGTGACTCAGGTTTATCTAGGAAGTGGGTAGAGAATTGCAAGGTGAAAAGGGGCTGAAGTGACACTACAGGAGGCCAAATCACCAGAGGTAAAGACACATCTGAGAGAGAAACCAGGACAAGAAGGGATTGAAAGCTGAAGTCTAAGCCACTCTATCTCCAGAAAGAAAATATGGGTCAAAGCCAGGACCCAGGATATCACAGGATCTGGAGGAGCCTGGTGGAGACTCTGGCTTGATATCTCAGGGCTGGAGTAGAAGAGATGACTTTGTTTAAAGGATCCTCAATGTGTCACCTTCTAGTGAAAATCCTCACACTTCATTCATTTATTTAGCCGTTATATATTAAGTATCTACTATATGCTACATAAAATGTGCATGTAAATCAGTGAAGAGGAAGAAGTTTATTTTTACAGGATCAAAATAACTCCTAGTCAACCCGTATTAGTCCTCACAATGCTCTCTCACAGCAGCGCTCCTGGCAGGGGGCCCAGCTGGTCTGCCCAGCACTGCTGTTCGTGCTTTTTGTCTTGTTTTTCAGGTAGCAGAATTTGAAGTTAGGCTTTAGAGCGGCATTGCTCATTAAAAGGTATACAGGAGCTTTTCTTGATGCAGTCACATGCATAATCCTTGTCTTCCTCCTGTTTACTGGCAGCCTGTAGTGCTCCTTTTATGAATTGATCCTTGATGCTTAAGATAACCTTACATGTATAATTTACAAACAAAACTTATTAGTATCTAAAAGGTGCGAAAACTAACTAAATAAAAGATGCTGATGATCTTAGAGACTTTTTATATAACTTCTTTTTTCCCTAGAGAATTCCGAAAAGATGAAAAAGCTCAAAGAAAAGAAATATTTTCACAATCTCAGGGATCACTTCTGTTATAATACAAGCTGCAAGATTCTTGAGCTTGTTCATGGTTTGCTGAAATGTGGTCAGCCTTGGGGAAGTTAAGCATCTCCCTCTGAGGTCAAGGGCCTATCATTGCATCCCAGTGGCTGTCCTCCCAGGCCAATGTGGAGTGCTGGCCTAGTCTTCTCCCCTCATCAGAATGTAAGCTCAGCTTAGTAAAGCTGTCTGATAATTCACTATGAGGTATGATACTTCTATGAATGCTGAGTTATTTATTTGGAGATGCTGCCATTTACAAAAGTACTGACCTGACAAATTTATAAAGTCAAAATGTTGAACTTCCAATACTAGTGACAGGTTAGAGTAGAAACAATATTTGACAGCATCTTCCTAACATCTTCACAATTAAGCTGCACAGGAAGCCATGGCTCTGTTGAAGAGCAACATTTTCCCCAGAGGATCATCTAGACATTCTGCAGAGCAATTGTTTCTATACAGTTGGCCTCTTGCCATTAAAACAGAAAGCATCCTTTGACTGATGTTCTAGGGTGTTATGCCCATTTAAAAGAGACAAAGTTTGATTTTTTTTAATTGATTATTTTTCAAGGGAAATGAAATGGACCCAAAGTGTTTCTTTCTCTTTATTGACTTTGTGCAGGTATCCTTTATTATCTTCATGCTAAGGACTTTTGCTTGCAACTTTATCTTAGGTTATTTCCCAGTCATGATAGTCTTATCCTTATTGATCATGGCCTTAGACCAAATAGGGCCGCAATGGAATAGATGACCAGTGACTCAGGACAGTTCATAAGTGCATGCAAGCCACAGAATTTGTGTGGTTCTATCTGCCCTGTGACACCAATGTCCAAACTCATATTATGGTGTACATGGAATTATAAATATGGCCTGGCTCTCAGTCCTTTCATGTGAGCATTTCCCTCAACTCTCCTAGGCACTCTCAGGTAGACTTAAGCCTCTACCAAGTACTGTTTCAGATCCCCACTTACAGTGGAGTTCCTGCCTAGTCCCCAAATTTGATGGAAAGGCAGACTTATGGATAAAGTAATCCAAAAAAAGGAGAAAAAGAAAACAATTTCTCTTTAGACCAGCCTAACACCCCCCACTCCTCCCCAACCCCCCACCTCCTACACACAGACCTACACACATCGCCCCCCAAAGACTCCAGGACCTAGAATTTTCCTCACCTATTTGTCAGACCTGAAGATTAGGCCTTGCCACTTCATAAAGATGACAGATTCTTGGAAGATGACATGACACTTTTCTCCAGGAGACATTAGGGTCATATGAATAAGGCCAGAGCCCTTTAAATTGGAACTAACCCCCAGAAGCATGAGTCAGCCACTAATAGTGGTTTCAGTCCTGTTGGAAGAAAACACTATTTTTTGCTGAAGCGCCTACTGAGCTGTCCAGGGTTCTGACTTCACAGGGTATCAGTACCTTTCCTGTCCTTGGTCTTGCAGCTGGGGTTTTGCTTTAAATTCTGAATACTTTGGGTGTAGTCTATGAGCACTAAACTTGACTACCTTTGTAGTTTACCTTGAGCTCTGCTGAGCTGGGCTCTTGTTAATGACATACTGAATACAAACTGAGAATGTGATTGCACTGTGTCAGGACTTTTAAGTTGGAGAGCATGAGGTTTAAAGTCAGAAGACTTGGGTTTTAGTAACAGTTGCATTAGCCATGTGATTTTAAAGAAGTCTTTGAAGATTTTTTTAGAGCCTTGGTTACTCATCATCTCTGAAAAATAAAATATGAAGCATAAATAACAAAAATACAATGCAAAGAGCATTTAAAAATGTTTGAGAAAAAAGATTTGACTGGAAAAGTATAGAACTGGACACAAAAGGCAATTCACAAAATAATAAAGACAAATTACCTACAGAATATATACAAATTAACTCAAAATTGACCAAAGACCTATATATAAGACATAAAACTCTTAAGAGAAAGCACAGCTGTAAATCTTTTGATCTTGGATTAGGCAATAATTTTTTAGATACAACACCAACACCACAAGTACCAAAAGATAAAATAGATGAAATGGAACTTTCTGTGCTGGCAAAGGACACCATTAAGTGAAAAGACAATCCACAGAATGGGGGAAATTTTGCAAATCATGTGTCTAATAAAGAGCTTGTATCCAGAATATATAAAGAACTTTTACAACTAAATAAAAAAAACAATAGCCCAAATTTTTAAATGGGCAATAGGATCTCAATAGACTTTTCTCCAAAGATGATACACATGCACACACACACATATACACACACACACACACACACGGCCAATAAGCACATGAAAAGATGCCCAACATCATTAGCTACCAGGGAAACACAAATCAAAACCACAATGTGATATTACTTCACACCCACTAACATGGCTGTAATAAAAAAACACACACACATAACAACAACTGTTGGCAAGGATGTGGAGAAATTGAAACCATTATACACTACTGGTGGGCTTTTTAAATGAGGCAGTTAATTCGAAAAACAGACTGACAATTCCTCAAACTATTAAACACAGAGTTTTCATATGAGCCAGCAATTCTAATCTTAGGTATAAACCAAAGATGAAAGAAAAAATGTACACAAACTTACACACAAACACTTATACCAGCATCTATATATATAAACCCTAAATGACTGGAATGACCGGAACAACCCGTAGATATGACATGCACTGTGGAGGCGGGGCCAGCCAGCCAACCTCCCGTGACCCTAACCCCCCTGCTGGCCCAGACCCAATCAGCTCCTCTACCCCGATCGGGGGTGGGGCTGGCCGGCCAACCTCCCACCATCTCCTCCCCCTGGCCAGCCCAGCCCCCACCCGTGCACAAATTTGTGCACCAGACCTCTAGTTAGTTATAATAGCCAAAAAGTGGAAACAACCCAAATGTCTATAAACTGAGAAATGGATAAACAAATTGTGATATCCATACAATGGAGTATTATTCACACGTAAAAAAGCAGAGTGCTGATAAATTCTATGACATGGATGAACCTTGAACATATTATGCTAAGGGAAAGAAGCCAGACACAAAAGACACATAATGAATGACTCCATACATATGAAGTGCCCCAAATAGGCAAATTTCTTTTATAGATTAGTGATTGCCTGGGACTGGATTTGGGGTTGTGAGAGTGGAGAGTGACTGACAAGGGGTATGAGGCTTCCATTGGAGTGATGAAAATGTTTTAAAATTGTGATGATGGTTACACAACCTCTACTTAAAACCATTGAATTATATACTTTAAATTGTATGCAAATTATATCTCAGTTACAGCTGTTATTTAAAAAATACAAATTACCAAGAAGCACATGAAAAAATTCCTAATTCATTGATCTTCAACTAAATAAAAAATTAGAATTACTGTGAAATACCATATCTCACCAAAATGTGGGAAATTGTGTGTGTGTGTGTGTGTGTGTGTGTATTACATGAAATCTGTTTGTAAACTTGCAAAGCACTATTCAAAGGCCATCAATGTCTATCAAGTCTATTTTGTTTGCTTCTCAAGCTCAGAATATCTTTGCGAATTCAAAGCACAGAGAATGTAAGTTATAGACCTTCTACTTCATATACTTGCCCAAAGAAATAAAAAATCTTTGCAGTTTTACTCAAATGTACAAATTAAGAAAACAAATCTGGGTTCAATGAAAAGCAATCCATTCTCTTCTTCCAACCCCGACTAGAGGGCATTAGAGGCTTTATCTCCTCGGGTGGCAGATGAAGTAACAGCAGCCACTCACCAGGGACAGGAGGAGTCTGGTGTGTTCCAAATGTGTTGTGACATCTGTGAGTGCTGTAGTGGCCCCCTGGAGAAAACACAGCTGTCTTGTGCACTGGCCTATAGCTTGTATAAATTAGTTTCAATTTAAACATTCTTTCACTGCAGTAGGAAATGGAGAACTTTTCCATATCAAATTCAAGAGCATCTATACTCTGTAGAAGAGTGAACAACATGTTGCAAAATGAGCTGCATGCCATATAGACAAATTAGCCCTGAACCAACCCCGCTCACAATGACCAGAGAAATTTGAGGCTTCAGAGCAAGCATGTCAAACTCATGGCCGGCGGGCCGCATGCCTCATTTGTTGCTTGCTTCAGAGTGAGTTGCACCTTGAGTCAAACAACTATCTTAGAAGAACCTTTCAAGTATGTTTATCTATAAATAAGGTTTGTCTTTCAGAATATAGGAACTACTACTAGGAACAGACCAGTGGTAACGGAATACAAGGGGATCCTTCCTGATCTAATGTGCTTTAAATGCCTGAAGTGTTTACTCTTGACTCTTCGATCTTCACAAATATAAATACCCAGACAGCTTTTACTATTATAAACCATTTTCTGGAAATAATTTGGCATGTGCTATTATCTATAATAATAAAAGCATAATATGCTAATTAGACCAGACGTCCTTCCGGACAAAGCCAGGGCTGCGAGGGGAGCCCTTCCCAGGTGCCAGAGGGAAGCTGGTGTTGGCAGCTGGGGAAAGGAAGGCCTACTCTTGCACGAATTTCGTGCATCGGGCCTCTAGTATCTTAATAATATTCTTTACATTTGTCAATACACTTAGAACGCTCCCAAACCCAATGCCAAAGGGACTATTAAAATATCCAGGTTATAGTTGAGGAAACCGAGGCACAGAGCTATTAGGTAGCCTTAATATTGAGGCCAGGAAGGATTTCATCTTGGTTGAAGTTTGTTGCTTGTGGTGCTCTTCCTGCATGTCCCCACATCGGTGGCCCCATGATATAAGGTTTGGTCTAAGTTAAGATGCTAATGTTAAATAAATATACCATACCAGATTCCTTCTTTTGAAGCAATGAACATAACTTCCTTTTAAAAAAGCAATAGATAAGAGAAAACCTGACAGTTCTTTCATCTCATCTCTTCTTGCTATCCTTCCCAAGTGCCAACCCTATTTGTTTCAAAAACATTTTAAAGCAATTCATAACTTAGAGCAGAGATTCTTAAGCACTCCTGTGGCATACTGGTGTGCCGTAAGAATTTTTAAAAATGCAATACTTGACTATTTAGTCAGGGGCACTGAACTTTTAGATTGTCAATTAAAAAAGCAACAGCTGCCCTGTGTGAATGAATCAGATTTATACCTATTGGCTAAAAATATATTTTTTGGTGTGCCACAGAATTTTAGTGATTAGTTTATGTGTGCCATGAGATGAAAAAAGTTGACAATCGCTGACTTAGAGTAACTATGCAAGCCCTGGAATTCCATCGTTGACTGTGTCTTATGCCCAGTCATTTTCAAATTAGTCAAGCTTTGTCAGTTCACAGGAGTGCAAATGTAAAATAAATAACACTTATAAATAAACATTGGTAATTTCAAACCATAGCATAAACCTGAAAATTTCTTCTCCCAGATGGATAATTATTTGTATACATCTGGAAGTGGAATCCGCTAAGTAAAGATAGCTATGAAAATTGCTAAAACTGAGACAGTGTGCACACCTTTTTCAGCAGAGCAAAATGGAGTCATTATCAAAATGGAATTTAAATGAAATTGGAAATGGAAATTTTCTTTTAAAATGGAAAATGTTAGTTTCCTTTAACAAGTAAAATCTAGATTTATTTAACTGGCTATTTCTTTCACACATTCTCAACTAGAGTATTGATTATTATCTGATGAAATATGGAAAATAAATATTATCATATCCCAACACTCCTTATCAACTTAGGCATATCCCAAAACTCTTTCTCAACTAAGAGGCTTGCATAGTTATTCCAGTTCTTAAATGATGACTTACATTAATGTTTCTCAGAGAAACGAAATAGCATTCTCCATATTATTTTGTATGTAACTAACTGCCTTATCATACCAATTTTCCAAGTTTCAGACCCTATCAATAACCACTTAAAATGTTTGCTACTGTTATGAATCGTAATGTAAATATCTGATATGCAGGATGTATTTTCAGGGGTCGCGACCCACAGGTTGAGAACCGCTGTGTTACGTCATTAGAGTTTTCTGGGTTCTTGGCATGTTATTATTAATAATGAAACTATGAGAAATTTCCATCTGGTATTTCAAACACTTTAGGGCATTCTAAAAATAGATCTGAGAAGTGTCACAAGTGCCCCCTGATCACATGACAGGACTAAGCTCCATGGAAAGATGTCAGTGGAATAGTTTTTCATCTTAAAGGTTTCTTAAAACAGGCTCATTTTCCTATAGGAAGATTTAAAAAATCACGATGATTCATGATAATCAAGAATTTTTTGATGATTGTTGTTGGAGGGAATACTTTTTTTATAGCGTTGTTGAGGTAAAATTTATATATATATATACATTATATATATAATGTATATATATATGTATAAGCACATACTTATAGTGAACTTGATACATTTTGACATATGTGTATATACCTGTGAGGCTATCACCACAATCAAGATAATAAATATGTTCATCATAATTCTGAAGATATCAGTAATGTGAAATTTGGTGATCATTAGATTCTCAGGGACATCTGGCACTAGTAGGCCATATTTATTGTCTATGAGTGAATACATATTCTCTAATTTATTGACACAATGTTTTTTGAACATCAATGGACTAGCAAAGACTGAGCAAAATTTAGGCTTTTAAGTTCCAGCCTTTTTTGAGGAATATCTGAAAGGTGCTGAAGTTGAACACAAGAATCGACAGGTATGAAATCCTCAGTATGCCCAGGGTGGCTTAGCAGCCCTCCAGCCTCTCAGGACGTCAGCTCACGCCCCACCAGTTCTAAGGAGGAGCAGAGCCTATCCATCCACCCTCTGCGTGGGGTTGAGCCTTATTGTTTTTTTCAATGACATTATTTTACAGACAACTTAGGAAGAAAAAAAAAAGCACGTCTTGTTTGAAAAGATGGGTCTACATATGGGCATAATACTATATAAGGCAAGCCACTTCTGAGTTTCCGTTTTTCTGTCAAAAATTTTCCACCTTGGCAGAGAGAGCTGTGAAGGGGAAAAAAGAAGCAGAAGCAGCAAGCCTCCTGGAATGTCCAACTTCGCCAATAAAACAGCAAAATAAATATACACACAGGCAGCTTCTAATTTGTGTGGCTTTGGCTCAGTGTTTCTGAAAGGAAACAGTTGCTTTTGGTCCCACCTACGGCATCCCATTTGCCCTCAGTGCTGGGAGGAACGAGGTCTGGTAAGCTTTCTTCCCCGGAGGCTTTCCAGTCCTCCACTACTTTCCGCGCTGTTCTGGACACGACAGTGTAAGGACACAGCATTTACCCTCCACCCACCACCAGCACCGGCACCTCCCCGCGCAGACCTGTCTCCTCCACAGCTGGCCGTGGTCGCCCTCACAACTATGGTCCTGAGGGTTCCAGCTTCCTTTCTCTGCCTCAACCCCCAGGACACCCATCCGGGCTGAACTTTGTGACTTGGAGAGCGTCTCTAGCCTCATCAGCCCCGCTCCAGCCGGGGGTTGTTGCTACCTGCGCGTCCTCTCCTCGGATTCCTCCCCAAATGACATTAAGATTCCAGTAGATTTGCACGTCCGTAAGCGGGGCCTGCAGTTAGCAGGCCGGGGCTGCCGTGAGCCAAGGGAGACG